AAAAGGGAGATCCCAAAGCAGCATTAAAATCATTTAAACAAGCTCAGGACTTTATCGAAGCCAATTATCCTAATTATGGTAATAATAGTAATCATTCATCTGCTACAACAACAACAACATCACAAAATGATAAAGTCATATTAATAGCATTAACTGCTACGTATCCTTCTGAAATTACAATTTATAATAATATCGGATATATGTATCATAAAATGGGTGATTTTGATAAAGCATCTGAAAATTATCAAAAAGCTCTCGATTTGTATTCAGAAAGTGGTATCGAAAATGTCCAAGGTCTATCGGTCATTCATAATAATATCGGTGGTTTGTGTTTCGATAAAGGCGAATTTAATGAAGCTCTAACAAATTACCGAGAAGCGGTAAAACTGTTACCAGAAACTCATGCATGGTTACAAGGATATAAGAAGAATTTAATCATTTTAGGTCGACATGAATGGTTTCAGCAAAAGGGGAAACTAAAATGTGGTTAAAATCGACAACATAAGCTTTCAGATGCAGTATTTATATCGACACTTGAAGACTGTTTATAAACCTTTAGCCTTTAGCCTGGAAGGCTCTTGCTTTCTTGGTTTTATAGCACATACTCTCTAAAAAAAAAAGGCTCCATACTAAACCATTAAGGTTTGGTGTATTGCTTCGAAACTTTTAATGGTTTTGTAGCGAAATTTCGAAATTCAGAGGGTTTGCTAGATGGTACGAAACCTCAAAACAAAATTTTTTTCTACAAGGTTTTGTACAGAGCATACGAAACCGGCGAAGTGGTTTAGTAGAAACTTGACAAAACCAACGAGTTTCGTATCGCATTAAACACTTCTTCGATGACAGAAGCATATGTTGAAAAATCAATAAACAACTAGTAGTAGATATTTATTAGTCTTAAGATAGTTATTCGAAAGACGTTGTCTATTTGAAACATGCGATTTATGTGAATACAAATACAGCTGTAGCATTTCTTCGTTCACCATTAGGAGAACGTTTAAAATATCAAGATGCATTTCGTATTGTTACAGATATGAATAGGTTAAATGAAAATCCAAGTGATAATGCTGGTGCACGTCTTATAAAAGCAGTACGGGAATTAGGTTTCAATAATCATTGTTTAATATTCACAGGTGATTATGAACACTCAGAACGACAAGTTAAAAAGTTAGTATCTGTTTAACAACAAAAAAACGAGAACTTTTTGAATTTGTTAACTTTGTATGACATTATTACACGTCTTTCGAATATCATCATACATAAGTTTTATTTTATATATTAAAAGCGAAAATTTGTTTTCTTATGCGGAATGAGATAACTCTGAAATAAATACACATTAATGTTTGGTTGTATCATGCAAAAAATAATGAAAAGAACGTTGTTGAATATTTATCCATGAAAATCATTGTTGTTAAGTATACTTACAGCTCTGATTTTTTTTCTATTTCATGATCATTTTTGTATGATTTTCTATAGAAAATACTGTGTCTTCTCTTTGTAATTTCTAGTAATTTATCCTCAAGTGAATCACGACAGACAAAATTCTTTTTTCAAATACGTTTAAATACGCACCTAGACCGAAGTTCAATATATAAGGTGCTAAAGTAGCAAGAAATTGTTTGGATTCCTTTTAACATGGCTGGATAGAGATAATGGAGTTTAGTAGAAAAATAGCAGTATTCTTGAAAGACGTGCGATGAGAATCAAGTATTTTCATTCTCTGTTTTCCGGTGAACAGCTCAACAGAGGCATTGTTGTGAAAAACCGGTTTTTCGCCTGTTACTAGCAAAAATTAAAATCCTTATATCTCGATCAAATCTGGCGAAGTTATATTCATTTCTACACAAAAACAAATGTTGCTACTATGCTCAGCGTAGTCGATTACCTATAGTCCGTGGCATTTTGAGATTCCCAGAGATGTCTGCTCGGAGATAGACACGTACTCGGGGAAAGCGAGCCCAGCCCTAATTTCTAAAGCTAGAGAGCCGGGACTTGCATAATTTTGTAGAGTAACGTCCGGACTATCTACGCATGCAAAAACATTACTAATATTGTATGTTAGTTTTCTGAGAACGGAGCTGATTTTCCAAAGATCCTCTGAAAACCCGATCTCTGGAATTGTTTCAAAAGTTGCTTCCGCTTGTGAAAAGTTCTGCTCAAGTCTTGGTTATTGAACAGCGAAAATTGCAGGTCTCTATCTCATTCCTATCAAAAGTTATTCAAAAAATGCCCACGGGTCTTGTATTCTGGGATGGATAGTAGTCCCATATATAATTGTTGGTCTGGTTATTGCACTGAGTGGTATAATGCTATTTATTATACCATTTTTAAAAAAGTCATCAAAACCATTATCGATAACAAAAATAGAAATAGTAGTTACTTCTACTGAAAATGGTGATGGTGATATTGACTATTGTAAATCAATACCAGTTTAGTATTCATTTATGTATTTCGTTTCTGAGTTTCGCTATGTGAGTAAAATGAAATTTTGTGTTTTTAAGATAAAGTAAGGTGTAAACAAGTGTACATTCTATCATGCGCAGAACGATCAATCACCAGAACATCGAAAGAGATTCGATTTCATTACATCGTAAGACATTCCATTCAATTACATCATTTTTTATCTATGTATAGAGAAGAAAAAAAGATTTTTTTTGTATATATGAAAGAAGAGACCTTCTTCCTATTCACTTCAGACAGTTTTTTGTTAACCTCTGAAGAAGAATTCGAAACCGGTCAGGTTAATAAAATAGAAAAAAACGAATCACCCGTTGTTATTATCTCACAACCGTTCAAACGTTACAAAAAATACATAGTCTAAAAAATATCCGTGAAATCACTTATATTTTCCGTTGTTACTTATATAGATAAATCAGAGGCAAAAGAAAAGAGTAAATGAAAGTAGAGTCATTAAATCTTCTCAAAATCTTAAAGGACCCTAAATCACTGTGCTCTCTGTAACTCTCTCTAATCGGTATTATCCCAACTACTACAGACCGGTTACAACTCTGCCGTGACCACATAGCAGTTCTAAAGTCTCAAAGCAGAATTTGTTCAATCCCACAATGGTCGAAACATCGAAAGCTACAGTTTTAAGCTGAGTTTCTTCTAAAGCATGGCGATCATTCAATGAGTAAGTCGGCTTTCGAAGTAGAAGAATCAACATCCGAACCGCAACTTTTATACGTATAGAAAGTTGAGATTAATTGGGAACCTTATTTAAGAGCTTTGCGTTAACCAATGATCTTTACAACGGAAGTATCTATTTGTCGGTCAGTAAAATGTTGTTAGATATTGCCTTTATTATGTACGTTTTGGCAAAAATATTATTTTGGTGCGTAAATGTTCATTTGTCAAAGCAAGTAAGATTTAAAATACTTCTGTTATCCTATTTTTTGGAATATGAAAATCATAGGTCTCTAACTATCCTTAATTAAAGACTGTTCAAAAACTTACCACAATCACTGTTTATTTTTCCTCATGCATTGCTCTGAGGAACCAGAAACAATATTTTTCGAAAAATGAAAGTTAATTTTACTTACTTAAAATAATGGTAAGTTTCACCAATTTCGTCAACTCACTTTAGTTATAAAATAACGATGAAAACTTTTATAGTTATTTTATGTTTTGGTTAGAAAAAAACCAGAAAAAAAATTATATCCGGGTTTTTTCCAACCAAAACACTAAATGAACTAGGTAACCAGAAATGCGTCACGCAAATATTTGTTTTTCTACGCAGAACATAATGGTGAACTGCATATGTTCTTCTAATGTCATTTCTCGACGGTGTCTTTTGACACAATACTGTAAAATGAGTGTTGTCAAATTTGATCACCCTCATCTATCCGGTGAAAAATGTCTCCTCCCAAATATAGGATGTCGTGTCAGTGAGCTGAGCGAGAGGGCCAGAAGATTATACATAGCGAATATCTAAGAATTTATTGCTCCTTTCTCCATGTAATTCAGATATGAGAAGATGTGTTCCGCTGCGTTCTTTTGTAAAGTATTTCACTTCTGCAAAAAATGTATAGAAAGTTCATACCTGTAATTTTTCTACAAATTTTTTTTCAAAACTATGGCTCGTAATATTTTTGCGTTTTCTTTTGACAATAAATGTATCACAAAATTTCTACATGGGTATTCAGGCTA